GACAAGAGCTGGCACTGAAGAGGCCAGAGCAGGGACAAGGGCACCCACGGAGCCCCAAGGTGGGTTCTGGTAGCAAATATGTGGCCTGTTTCATGGCAGCTCCTGGAGCTGGCACGGGGAAAGGCCCCAAGGGTGGGTGCCAGAGCCTGGAAGGGGACTCCAAGTCACATCTGCCCCATCTCTTCCTCAAACTCCACATAAGAATCAGGCTCCAGAAGACTGTGTTTGTTCCTAGCTTGCAGTGCTGGGTTTCTGCTGGCTCCTCTCCCTCCCCCATCAAAACATCTCACAAAGATGTACAATATACAGTGGCAAGACTGCATCTCCACCCAGAGGAGAGAAACCCACACGGGACTTTGTCCCTGGGTGCTACTGCAGCCACAGAACAGGTGTAGGACGCATGCTGGGCCCCGGCTCCCCTCCTCCTGGCAAGAGGAAGCATGCATTAGTACTTAGGAGCTGGTGGAACTCAGAGTGTGACTGTGGTCCTACTTCTGCCTACCTTGAATGACATTTTGGCAAGGAAAAAAAAAAAAGTACTGCAACTGGCCATGGTGGGCACTTTTGTAATCCCAGCACTCTAGGAGGCTGAGGCAGGAGGTACCTCCCTGGTTTGAGCACAGCCTGGACAATTTAGCAAGATACTGTCACAAAATTAGAAATTAAAGATGGATAGGGACGTAGTTCAGTATGAAGGCCCTGGGTTTGTCCCCAGGTGCCACACACACACACAAACATACTATACTGAGTCACGTCTTTTTAAAAAAGCTTATATGCTTATACTTAACTTTTTTACTATAATTTCACCCCAGAGTTTCTCCATCTTCTAATTTTCTGACACCTGTCTGCCAAAATCTCCTCTCACCCTGTGATTTCCTGATTGATGGTCTCTCTCTCTCTCTCTCTCTCTCTCTCTCTCTCTCTCTCTCTCTCATACATGGAAGGAATTTTCTCCTAAGACTCCTATCTAAACTAGCTTTCCATATGACCTAGTCAGAAGCCCTGAGGTGACGTCTCTGTTCTACAGACTTCCTTGTGACTTCTCTAATACTAGGTGTTCATATGCATTGTCATTTTTAAATATGATCCAACACTGTTAAGATCTGAGTTACTAAATTATTAATAGAATATAATTAAAATCATGAGTGGAGAGTAAGTAATACAATAAGGAGTAATGTCATTTAAGGTATATTAAATTTTTCTCCTGTCTCTGGTTTGGAGGCTCCTGAGACCACTGAGGCCGTGACAGGTCCTGCCTCACTGGGGCAGTGGGCTCAACACATCGCCTGTGCTCTGAGCACCCTTCACCCCTTTCCTCCACAGCTTTGGTCCCACTGTTCCCTCTGTGGCCCCATCTCACCAGCTCAGCCCTTTCTGAGAACCTTCTTGCCCTCAGGTCACCGTTTCTTGGCTCACATTCTTATTTCTCTGCTTCTCTTGCAAATCCCCCTGTGGGAGGACCCACTCAGCTCCCCGGTCTCTTCTCACTGTAGCGCCGTGTTAAGGTTGCCCCCGCACTTTCCTGGAACCCTCTCATATGGACAGTGTCCACCCCTTCTCCAGACTCCTCTCTCCAGGGTCTGTCTCCTCCTCGGCTGCGCTACCCACTTCCCCTCCTGCCCATCCTGCAGGCCCTTGGTCCGCTTGGGAATGGGCCTGCTGCGGAGGAGTGCGTGGCTGGGACAGCTCAGGAAAGGGGACTCAGAAGATGGGGTTTTGCAAGCCAGATGCCGCCAGGGATGCCAAATGTCTCTAGGATGATGTGCTGCTCCTGGAGTGAAAACTGGGGGGCACGAGACAATCCATGTGCTTTGTCAGTGAGCGTGAAACGTTGTGTTTTATATTTTTGGCACACACTTCTCAAACCCTCGCTGTTAAGTACAGTACAACTCAGCCTTGCTGTAAGGGTCTAACTGATTTAAACCAGACATGTCCTAAATATATTGAAATCTATATAAAACAGGGAGATTACCCTCTATTCTGAAGTTGGCTGGGAGGGTTGCTAAGAAAATCTGAGTTTGTAGGGAAAATATTTCTTCTGTGTTATGCTTGCAGCATTCCTACTTCTAACCCTTCCCTGCCATGTTTATCAGGATGCTGGCTACAAAACCCAGCTTGAACCAGCTGAAGCCAGAGAGGGATTTACTGAATAAGAAGAGAAACAACATGGGCCATAGGGGTTCCTGCAAACCTCCCTCTTCCTTCCCTGCATCACCCACAGACAACAGCTTTGTGTGTCCCTCCTCAGTATCCTACCCAAGAAGGTGGAAGAAGCCCTGCAGCTCTGTCCTGAGGCTAGAGAATGAGGAAGGTCCCCGAGCTCCAGGATATTGCAGAGGAGATCTGTGCTCATGCCTGGATCCAGAGTACAGTGGTGTCAGTGGTGTAAAGAACATTCTCTGAAGACCCACAATGTGGGAAAAATTTTTCACCAGCTGCTCCACAGAAAAAGGTGTACTATCTAGAATATATAAAGGTTTTTTAAAAATCAGACCTCCCAAATTTAAAGACCCAATCCAAAAATGGCCATCTGAAATGAAGACATTTGTCAGACAAATAAGTAGAAATAGCAAATAAACATATGCAAAAATGTTCTACATCACTGGTCGTTGGAGAGATGCAAGTGAAACCAACACTGAGATTCCACCTCACCCCAGAAACAATAGCTGCTGTCATGAAATCAACCGATAACAAATGCTGGCAGGGCTGTAGGGAAAGAGGAACTCTGCTCTACTGCATGTGGGAGTGCAGACTGGTGCAACCACTATGGAAATCAGTATGGAGATACCTCAAAGAACTAGGATTAGAGGTCCCATTTAACCCAGCCATTCCCTGCTGGAATTCCTCCCAAAAGAATGAAAAACATCATACCACAGTGATATACATGCACCCTTGTTCATAGTAGCATAGTTTGAAATAGCTAAAACTTGGAAACAGCAAAATTGCCCATCAACTAGAGACTACATAAAGAAAGTGGGTTTTTTTAATAAAATGGAGTACTACTCAGCCATAAAGGATGAGAAATTAGAGGCATTTATAGCTAAATGGAGGCGATATTCTTAAGTGAAATAAATAGAACACACAGGTGTAAATACCAAATAGTTTCTCTGGTGTGAGAAACTGAATGTGTAAATGTTTAAAAGGTATAATAGATAATGTGAAATAGGAAGAAAAAGTCCAAAGGGGAAGAGGAAGTTGGAGGGGTAGGGGAAAGGAAAGAAGGGAATGGAATTAATAGGAGAAAATGAAAAAATGGAAAGCCTTTGTAAATAGGGAGGGGTAGAAGAGTTGAAGGGGGGCAAGGGAATGGGGAAAAATTAAGAACCAATATGGATTATGTCAAGGTCCAAATTTCCAGTGATAAATGTCATTATATTGTATACCTAAAATGTACTGATAAAATTAATTTTTCAAAAAAGAACATTCTCTGAAGACAGGGGCAGGAAGAGAGCACCATCATCCTCTGCTGCACCTCCTGCAAAAGTCAAACCCATTATTGCCAAGATAAATGAAATCCATGTCTGTTTTGAGCCCTTCCTTGCCATGCATCAAGTCGGCTCCCCAGATCCTAGACCCTCAGGTCTCCTGATCTGACCATCCTCTGCCTGGAACTCCCTCATCCTTTTACTGCCCCTGTGACCAGCCACCTTCCACACCATCTGCTAGGCCCAGCTGTTGTCAGCTCCCTCTGGAAAACCTTCCCCTTCCAGTATGCATTAGTCAGCCTTCCCAGCACTGGTACAAAATACCTGACATCACAAATTTAAAGGAGGAAGGGTTTAGGTCCACAACACAAGGAGCTCATGGAAGGAGCATGGTGGTGCAGAGCTACTCACTCCGTGGTGGTTGGGAAGCAGATCACAGGGTGAGAGAACCAGCAAGAGACACCCTCTCCACAGACATACCCACCTGCTTCTACTGGGCACTTTTCAGCTATGAACAACAGTGGGTTAATGTGTCTAGCGCTCCTGTGATCCAGTCACTTATCCAGGAGTCTCAGTCCAGGCTAGATGAGAAATACGATTACATGGCGCACTGGCCAGTCTACCTCCTTCACATCCATTCACCCCGGAAGGTGAAGTTACTATTATGTGGAAGCTCTCTCCGGTTGGTGGTGTTTTGTCAATCACTCCATCAGTCTTCAGTATCCTCAGGGGCAGGGAGCAGTCTTCTGTATCTTTGTGTCCCAGCAGCTAGAAGCTAGTACACAGTAGGTACACTGGTTGTCCTCTGGTTGTGTTGGACAGGATAAACTAGTGTGCGTGGTTTAAGGAATTGTGAAATAATTTGAAACCTAAATAACCTATGCTTTGCTGTCCTCAGTGAAGACAATGGGATGCATATGGTTTTAGTTAGGATTCACAGGAGATTTTCCTCTCATTCAATTTATTTTAGAAATTCAGTATTCCAATGTATCCAAAATCATTTTTCTCTACATCTTACCTGCATCACTGCTTTTAACATTTCATCATTGCTCCTGGTCTCTGCTGTGACATTTTAGTACCGACAACCGGCTCCCTCACCAATGGGGGAACAGCAGGGGACTGTGGATCCAAAATTCTTTTTCCAGCAGTTGGCTTAGCCACTGATTGTACTCAGTGGAGCCTTGTGACTTCTAGGAGTTACGTTTTCCCAACTTAGGCCTCTGCCTGTACAATTGGAGAGGAGTGCATGAATGTACTGGTGCACACTTGCAGGTACAAGTGTGTGTGCCCAGGTGTGTACATTGGAGGAAGAAGTTGGGAGGAGTTGGGGAGGTTCCACATGTACCTCTTGGGCTACCGTTCGGAGCACACACATCTGACTCACCCTTCTATGAGTCTCCTGTAAGTTCTCCCTGGATAACCCAAACAGGTGAAAGTCTTTGGCGAGCCCTGTTGTATTATCTATAAAATAAGGAGGAGATCAGACCTTGGCAGCCATGGGGCCTACACCTTCACAGGCAACATATGGATGCAATTCTGCACTCAGTTTGTTGTGTTGTTTTTATGTTTCCACAGAGGTCTCATTGCCAGTGATTTCACCGAAACCCATTATCTGCAAGATGGTACTGATGTCTCCCTCACTCGAAATTACACGGTAATTCCTGCACATTGGGATCAGCATGATATATTGCTATCAAGTCTGTACTTAAGTGTCAGAGCTCCTTTATTCCAAGGTTCCTAACACAGGCCCCAAGAAGCGCATGCCCGTCTATAGTGTTTAGATGTCCCACTGTGACTCCAGAAGCGCTGGGCCATGGCCAGGAATGTCAGGACAGCCTTGAGGCTCAGAGGCTCGAGGCAGGGATGAGTTTGAAACCACCTTCCAACGCTTATGGGATGTCATTTGGAGCAAATCCTTTTTAGAAAAATCTAGCCACACAGTTCTGCCTATGTTGAATTTGAATGCCAAAACCTTGATGTACCTTAAGGAAATTGAAAGGAAAACCAACCCTGCTTAACCAGCGGGAAATCTACCCACAACGCTGATGTGATTTGATATCAAAAACATTAATGCGGCATGATTTATCCACTCCTACTCAGCTTATTTGGTATTTGTTATCTGCAACTTCCACAAAATGTCTATTTTATTTGTTCCTTCAACAAACTTTTACTCTTCACCAGGCTCGTGAGTGAATAGGGAGATTAAAAGATAACAGGTCAGAGTTTCTGTCCTCTAAGAACTGGGAAGGTTGCTTGTTTGAAGGAGCTAAGGGTGTTTGTGCTAAGAAGCATGAGCTCTGTGCAATCTTATGAAGGAGGGGTCAAGCAGGCCTCATTGTCTGCAGGGATTCTGTCCTTCTCCAGAGTACACAACACTTTTCTCTGTCACAAGTTTGGCACCTGGAACTTGGAAACTGATGCTCCCTCTTCCAGGAGCACTGTGGGTTGAGCTTCTGCAGCTCTCCCAGCCCAAAGACAAATAAAACTCCTGAAGAAATATAAGTATATCGGAATTTGTGTTCATGCCTGGCCAAGTTGAAAAGGAAATCAGAGAAAGAGGGGACAGTAGCCCACAACATGGGATTCTTGGTTGGGGCTGTGGGACCCCAAAGGGCCTTTCAGGACCCAGAGAGAAAAAGGGACAAAAGAAGTAGGTACCTGCAATTGCAAATCTCATGAAATCTTCCCCAGGAGTGCTGCTTCCTATGCAGAAAAAGGCAGGAAATCTCTGTCATTTCACAGGAAGGGCAAGAAAGAACTGTCTGCCAGGTATCCTGGATTGAAAAAAGATTTTGCAAAAAAGAAAAAAATCGAAACCCCATCAAACCTCATGTGTGTGTATGTTAGGGCTGGGCTGGGCTCAGGTCCAAATTTGTAATAGCATCATAAAAATGGAATTCCCAGTCAAGATATTGACCTCAAAAGCAGTCCTAAACCAGTGAAGCCCTGATGGGCCCAGGCTGAAGCCAACCCAAACTGGAATCATAGGGATAGTCTCACAAACCACATTATTCGAGATGCCCATGCAAAGAAAAAAAAAGCTGGGGGGAAGTAATGAAAATATTAAAGATGAGACCCAAGCAGTCAAAATTACAAGCTAAACAAGGAGCAAAGCCACTGTAAGTGAGCCTCAGTAGAAAGAAGAAATGAGGGTTAGTATTTCCAGGAATTCAGGATTTAAAAAAAAAAAAATTAAGGAGAACAGAATATATCTAACAGAAATTCCACAATTAAAATGTTTTTAAAAATAGGAAAAATTCAGTGATTAAGCAAAATGTGATGAGAATGATCCTGAATTGAAGAAAAACATTAATCTTTGAAGAAAATTCACCAAATCCCAAGTAGAAAAAAGTAACAATAAACCCACTTCAGTATGGCATGTAGAGAAACTGCAGAACATTAATGATGAAATCTTAAAACCTCCAGAGACAAAAGAGAAATTTGCACAAAATAATGACAGTTAAAGCAACAATAGATTTCACATTAGCAACCATAGATTAAAACTTCAGGGAGCTGAGGCACCTTCAATTTTATACTCAAATTATTTTATAAAAGTGAGAGTGAAATCAGACATGTTCAATTAGATGTCTACGAGATTTATTACTCTCAAATTCTAAGGGAGAATATCTACCTAGGAATAACTAGCAAAAATGTCTTAGCAAGAACAAAACCGAACAAAAGAGGCAAGGATAAAATGTCAGGAGCAATAATAAGCAAAATAATAGCATGTGAGTAAATCTAAATAATCCATGTAAAATAATAATTACAATGATTATATTTGCATGATTTAAAACAAAATAAATAGATTTGAAACAGTTTAATGATTTGTATTGTATTAGAGAATAATAGGCATGCTGATTAGATTTTGATAAGTATGTGTGCTGTAATTTTAAATATAACCAGTTGAAAAATAGAAAAATAGATTTTATCCCACATAATAGGTAACAAATAAAAATAATATCTCAATCCAGTGGAGGGTAAAAAAGAAAGAAAAGAATAATAAAGAAGCAGAGCAAATATAAAACACAAATAAGACAAAAATTAGACATTAATTTCAGGTAAATAGATTGAATTTGTTTATTAAAATAAAAACAAATTATCTGCTTAGAATTTAAAATGAAATACAGATACATAATTTTTATAAGACTCATATCCCCAAATACAAATATGAAAGGAAAAGAATGGAGACAAGAAAAGGTAGACAAATCTTAATCCAAAAAAGATGCTACCATTCTGTTCACAAGCGAGACCTTAGGCAAAAAAAGGCACTATCAAGGATCAAGTAGTCATTGCATAATGATAAAAAAAATTCAAAAGGATGGTGAAAGAATTGTGAGACTATATAAACCAAAAGAATTGTCAAAATCTACAAAGAAATCATTGGAAGAATCTAGGTACAACTTTTAAATCTAATTATAGTTTCATCTAGAATTTAAGGCTTGAGACCAGCTCCTTATTAAAGGATTTCTTAAAGCCTCACAAAATCCATTAAAAATTAGGTTATA